CGCTCTCCTCTCTCCTTGGGAACCTGGGTGACCTGGTCGGTGCGCTCAGGGGTCCCTTTCTTTCTGTTCTGAGGCTGCTGGCTGTCCCATTCCCTGCCCATCTCAGGCAGTCAGTTCAGGGCCATGTTAAGTCACCCTGACAGAAACAGGGATCCCAGAAGGCACCAGAAAGAGGCTGTGCTACAACAGACCCCATTCCCTTCAGAGATAACCCTGTTCCTGCTTGAACCTTGCTGCACTTAAAACACCCACAGTAAACTCAGGAGCTGCATTTCCCAGCGTATGTCTTCTCCTTTCTCATACCTTGCCCCTGGGAGAAGGGAAGGAAGGTCTAGCTGGTCAAAGTGAGAGGTCAGCCTGCTGGGTCAGAGGCAGCTGTGGCCCTGCATCCACTGAATTGCTGGCCGACTTGCAGGACAGGAGCTACAGTCACCCTTCCTGGGGTCACGGGGCCGAGTGCATCGCAGGAAGAGAAACTGCCCAGGTAGAAACGAGCTGGGAAGGGTGATGTGCACACACGCCTTCCACCAACCTCAGTAACATCACCACCTGCCTGGGAGCAGCTGGCAGCCAGCATGTGCTGTGTCCAGCAGGTACCGGGGGCCAAAAGCTGCCATTCCCCGCAAAGTAATGACTCTCTCCTCTGCAGGGACCTTGTGCCTGGGTGATATTGCACCCTAGGACATAGGGCAGCCAAGACATCAGGCTGGGTCACCGGGGAAACCAGGCTAATCTTTTCAGCTCTCTTAGCTGTGAGAAGCTCCAGCAGGTGAAGGGAGCTGTTTCTGCTCCCCCTTGGGCGTAGAAGAGGTGGCAGCTGAGACCCCAGGGATGGGGCTTTAGGATCCCGTAGAGGAGACATACTCAAAGTCCCAGCCGTGGCACACCAGTGCTTTCAGTCTTTGCCTCTGTCATTCTCCAAGCAGCCACAGTCCTCCATCTCCTGAACAGCAACATGATGTCCTGGGTAGAGACATGGATATGGTTGGACTTGATGATCTTGAAGGTCCTTTCCAACCTTAGTGATTCTGTGATTCTGTGATATAGTCTCTGGAAGGATTGCACTGAAAGGGTTGGTAAAGGACCCGTGTTCACAAAAGCACCTGACCCCATGCCACTTCTTCCTTTCTCTCCATGCCAACTATTGTGGGAGAGCCCAACTCCTTCCCTGGAGAAGGCAAGGGCAAGTCCTCGCTGGGAGCTGTCTGCTTTGGAGCTTGTTGACATCCTTCTGTCCCTCCCAGGATGGCAAGCCCAGCCCTAGCAGTACAGCACAAGCAGAGACTATCCTAGTAGTAGCACAAAACAAAAAGGGCTTACAGCTCTCCCCGAGACAGGTGATACTGAGAGGCAAGCTGCTTCTCCCCACCAAGGATGCTCTAGCACCATTTTCAGACAGCCCTGCACTAGAGTCCAAATACCTTGCACCAGCCATGGCCTGCACTGGGTGTAAAGCAACCCACCTAAATTCTGAGCCCTAGTCTCCTTCATTCCGGATAGTTTCTGATGGGGTCTCTCATACACAGACAGGAGAGTGCTAGGCGCTTTCCTGGAGGAGATGACAAGGGGCAGACACAGTGCATTGGTAAATATCTGAGCTGCAGAACTCTCTGGCGCAGGATGACAGATGTCTGTGCAAGTTCACGAGGAGGCCAGACTGGTTTGCTGCGGGGAAACCCAGTGGGGAATTTTAAACATACAGAAACTGTGCAATTCAAGGGAACGGGATGCTCGCCCTGTTCTCATGGTCTTTCCTAGGTTCCCAGTTGCCACCTCCGGCAGAGGGAGGAGATGGCCTGCAGTCCAGCCCTGGATGTCTGCTCTTATGTTCTTCCTGTTCTTGCCTGGAATGAAGGGAAATGACGTTGCCTTTGCCTTCAGCACCCCTGCCACCCTGGGGAAACTGAGAAGGGTCCATGGTTTGAGCTTCTGCTAACAGCTGCTATCAGCTAGGAAATCTGCAAGTGAAAAGGCTGCAACTGCTTATCTGTGTAGTACAAATCTTTGTCACGGCAGGGTTTTCCTTGAAGCTCCAGCGGCTGCAGTCTTTGCACGAGAATGGCAGCTTTCAGCGTAAAAATGGGGTTTGCCTTGTGGCGCTGGGGGAAGGTAGGAAAGCAAATTTACCGGCAGTCAGCGAGGGCAGCAGGGATGTATCAGCCCCATCTCGTCACAGCTAAGGAAGGAGCTGCTGCTGGGGCAAGTGCCTGGACATGCCCATCTTCCACCTTTCGCTGGAGCCACGCGGCAGTGCCAGTGGGGACACAAGGGGACACGGCCGTCCGTTCAGTGGTTTGTCACCAGCCCTTCCTCCGGCGCAACCCGTCTCACTGTGCCGCTGCCGCAGGGCCTGCTCCAGGGAAGACAGATCCCTGCCGCGCGCCGCAGAGAGGCACCTGGTATTTGTTTGGCGTTTAAAAATCACTGCCTGGCACTGCCTGCCGGGTGGGGACAGCGCTGGCCGTGATGCACTTGGACACGACCCTTCCCAGAGGAGCAAGACCAGCTTCAGGGAGACGTGTCATCGGGCTACGTCCAGCTAGTGAAGGGGCAGAATCCCAAACCTGCATCCCTTGTCTCCATCCACCCTCAATGTGTCAGAGGGAAAGTGAGCTCCTACCCCAGGGTCAAGGAAGTGTCCTCCTGTCTTCTCTCACATTGGTTGGCAAGAGATAACAAACTCCCCGATTTAATGGCAAACAATTACATCTGGAAAGAAACACTTAAAATGGTGTCTTTTGCTATACAAAGCAAAGCCCTAAGTCAGCAGCTGGTGCGGAACAGAGACCTCATGGCAGGACCGCAGTCACACTGCTGTGGGCCGTGCTCATGAAGCTGCCATAACAACTTCTTGCCCTCACATAGCCATAACCAGCGTGGTGTTATAAATGCACTCACACCGATTTTGCTCTATTAGCCCAGACCACATCTACTGAGAAAGAGCAGGAGGGTCCTCAACTGCCACTGCACGATCTTTGGAACTGGTACATCGAGTGAAAGAAATCTTGTTCTTGCAAGGCTCATGATAAAAATCAAGAGAGTTTGCAAGTGCACAACAACAAGAGCTGCAAGGGAAAAGCCCACTGGCAGACAAAGTGATGAGGGTGGGTATGGCTATAGCTTCCAGCTCAGAGGCAATGTGTTAAAATTGATTCTGGGTTTAGAAGGACATCAGATACCTCAGATCAGGCCCAAGATGAAGGTGGGTTGATGCCCAAGGCTAAGGCTGACTGAATTCCCCTCTCAGATTGCTGAGGCATGCAATTTGCAGATAGATTAATCAGATGAGTCTGGCTTCTGTGGTTTCCTGGAGTCTAGTCTCAGTCTATAAAACCTTGCTGGGAGCAGGAAGAGTCCCCAGCTGCAGCCTCATCTCCAAGGGATCCACTGAAGCCAAGAACGCTATGATGAAGCGCCTGCAGAAACTCCTGCTTGCCCTCCTGCTGGTGACACGCCCCATGGCCAAAGCCAGTAAGTAGAGCGGCTTGGAGTCGGGGAGAGGGCTGGGGAGGAGAGAGTCCCAGACAGCGTGTCCTGTGTCCTCTGATCCCCTCATCCTCCATCCTGTTCCTTGCAGAGTATTCCTGGAATCGGATGGATGGAGGAGGTGAAGCCAAGACCCACACCACACCCTATGTGGCCTATCTGCAAGGGAAGAACAACCAGTTCTGTGGAGGTTTCCTGGTGGCCCCGAACTGGGTGATGACAGCGGCTCAGTGCTTCGTGTAAGTTTTTGCTATGTTTGTACAGCACCAGGCACGACAAGATTGCCACACCGCCATGATCTGGGTAACGTCTCCTAGATGGAGGCCCAACAGTTTGAATCTCTTCCTTCACAGGGACGAACTCTTTCCC